GATACGAGCAATAAAATACAGGATGACAGCGTATGAACAATAGTCTTTATTCAAAAAGACACAAAAAAACAAACGTTTCAGTCCACAATTTTGGACCTTCCTCAGTGTAATAATTGTTACATTTAATGGAAATAATATATAATTAGCGCAAAAAAAAACACTTCAATAAAATTAAAAAATAACAAAATAATAAAACTCACTCAAATAGTTTAACACATCGCTTCAATATAACAAAATAATGTCAATCAAACATGACATGATGAAATACAAATATTGTGTACTGACAAGAAAACTAACAACAAACATATATGTAAAGATATCCCCACTATATGATCCGGAGATCACAAGTTCACAATAGGTCGAAAAACAAGTTTACAAAAGTAACAGTCTAAACATTTGGTTTATATAATTCTAGAAAAGAAAAATAAGGTTTCAAACTGTCGGTATCCGACATTACATTTAACGGGTTGTCCTGCAAATTAATGTGGAGCTCCACATTAATTTGCAGGACAACCCGTTAAATGTAATGTCGGATACCGACAGTTTGAAACCTTATTTTTCTTTTCTAGAATTATATAAACCAAATGTTTAGACTGTTACTTTTGTAAACTTGTTTTTCGACCTATTGTGAACTTGTGATCTCCGGATCATATAGTGGGGATATCTTTACATATATGTTTGTTGTTAGTTTTCTTGTCAGTACACAATATTTGTATTTCATCATGTCATGTTTGATTGACATTATTTTGTTATATTGAAGCGATGTGTTAAACTATTTGAGTGAGTTTTATTATTTTGTTATTTTTTAATTTTATTGAAGTGTTTTTTTTTGCGCTAATTATATATTATTTCCATTAAATGTAACAATTATTACACTGAGGAAGGTCCAAAATTGTGGACTGAAACGTTTGTTTTTTTGTGTCTTTTTGAATAAAGACTATTGTTCATACGCTGTCATCCTGTATTTTATTGCTCGTATCGGCCTATTAATTAATTTATGTTTTGTAGTAGTTATATAATTATTAATTTAATACAATACGTGTTGTGCGTGTACTTGGCGCCTGTTTTTACCTCTTTTTAAAAGGTTAGTTTTTCGAGAATAGTAAATCAAAATACAATACATAAGTTTACTTGGTTGTATGTACGTGCGTGTGAGATAGATGATGCACTATTTTCTCTTTTCAAATTCTTTATCTTTTCTATTGTTTCTTTATTCTGTTTTTTCCCAAAATAGTAACACGTTTATTAATTTTTTTAAGCCTTTACATAATAACGTACAACAGTTTACTTGATGCTACTTTTTGATATCTCTGTGTTTATAGTAAAAAATAAATGCAAAACGTGTTGTGCGTGTATTTGGCGCCTGTTTTTACCTTTTTTTTTAAAGGTAAAGTTTTTAAGAATAGTAAATAAAATAAATTTAATCTCAATTGTATTTAATCTCAACAATTGTAACACATTTATTTATTTAATTTTTCCAAGACATAAATTCTGTAAAACAGAGAAAGATGGTTTTGAAATTGGCGCTTGTTCTTACCTTTTTTTAAAAAAGTAAGTTTTTTAAGTATCACACATTTTATATTTTGGAGTATATATACGTTGTATTTTTTTATATACTTGATGCAACTTTTTTTGATATCACTTGTTTTGTACACAGATTCTTTCGTATAATAAGTCTTTTACTGGTTTTTTCTTTTTTGAACTATACTAACACATTTAGTTTTTTATGTTTTCCAAGAAAAGAATATAAATATTTTTAGCATTTTTTGGCCAGTGGTGTTTTTTAATTTGCATATCATCAATTCCAAGCCAGCTAGATTTTCCTTCTCTACACATACTTGTATAATGATTGTTTTCAATACACAGCCCATTATTAAATATGGCATTCATTACTTTATATAGCTGTCTACTTATTGACACTTTAGTTGTTGGTACAGCACGTATATTTAGTTTGTTTGCTGGTATTACTTTACCATCCTTTGAAAATAATAGAAAATGGATGATAAGTATTTCTTTTGTCATTGTTATATAATTCTCTTTTAAATATCTTATCAATCTTTTTACAAGTGTTACATAATTCGTTAATGGATTCACACTAATGAGGAAAGCAAATATTTAATAAATTGTTAATATCATAATTCTTTTTCTCTAAATTAATGACAGGAATTGAGATTACAATATTATTGGATATAACTGTATTTGTATATTCACAATTTTTGCATCGTGTAGTGCAAGTTACTTCATGCTCGACTACAGTTTTTATAAAATCGAATTTCGCGCAAAGAGCTAAAAGAAATTTAGATGCATCACGTTTTACATTATTCGAAAAGTTATCTCCTAGATATTGTCGTATTTTATATGTATTTAAGTTAGGCATTCCATTTTCATTATAATGCATTAGTACAAATAAAATTTTTTCTGTATCATANTTAAATATTTGTTTTCTAATGATATTTAAGTGCAAAAAACATTGCAATATTGTATTTGCATAGGATGAAACTCTATCTGTGTTTTGGAATTCTCGAATAATCCAACCCGTACTTTTTTGAATATTTTGATGTGGTTCTTGTGGTATTTGTACAGAACTAATTATTTTTGATGAAGTCCATCAATTATTATCTGTAACCTTACGAATCTTTTGTTTTGCTACACGAATCATTTCTGCTTCAGGTTTATGTATTTTGTTTAATTTATTGTACTCACTAAAAGCTTCTTCAATAGCTTTTACAGATGAGGCATCATAATTAATTAAATACAGTCTTTCTAAAAACGTTACTCGAGACAATGCAACATAAATTTGACCAGGACTAAATACAGAATTACCTACATCCATAATAGCGTTCTGCAAACTCAATCCTTGACTTTTGTGAATAGTGATTCCATAACNCAGACACAATGGAAATTGTTTTCTAATGACATATATTCTTTCCATGACGGGAAATTTGACACATACTCTCTCAATTAAAAATTCTTCATCTGACGGCAAAAGATTTATTTTTTCTATATTATTATTCCATACATCTTTAACAACCAAAGTCACTTTACTTATTGTATTGTTTACGAGGCCTTTGCTAGCATCGATGTTACGTCTTATCATACCTTTTGCCCCAAGTTTAATAATAATTTCTTTTGCAAGTCCAGCTGTTCTTGAAGTATCATCTTTATGACTTGACAATGTTTTTACAATCTTCTTTTCTACAAAGCGATTATACTTTATTTTATTTTCTGCAATTAATACTATTTCTTCAGAAGCAATTCGATTTAGCATTGCCGCATTAAGAACGTCACACATGTGACAAGTAGGTAGTAAACAAACGGTATTTGCCGAAAAATCACTACTAAAATTACATAAGTCGTTTAATCTAGATTCCATAGATACACCTTTAAACGATAATTTAATATTCTGGTTTGAAGGATTTTACAATCAGACTNAGTCACTAATCCAATACGAATTTTTGATAGTAACTCACAATATGTTTTATCTCCTTGCTGCCACATATTGATTGTGAATTTATCGTAGTCAAACAATCTAATCCACAAATTAGTGGCCTCCAATAAACCAAGATATTTATCAATTTTTTCCTTTGATAAGCTCACAAAAACACGATCATCGTTTACTGGAGGTAATTGAAGCAAATCTCCAAATAGAAGAATGTGTTTTCCACCGAACCAATCGTCATCAGTATCAGTAGTGTCAAAAATTTGACACAATCGAAGATGTATGTACATTAAAGTGTTGTGAAATTTAGTTTTAGTTTCGTTCGGGCCATTGAGCAATTGCGGTAAGTACGCATCATTGCTCAATCGACCCGGTTTTGTTTCAAAAGGGTAACAAGCAGCATTTCTTTGTAAATGAAATCTGCTTGTTAAGCGTAATGTTAAGTATGGTACAGACACAGCACGCAACGTCAGCGGCCTACGTGCAGTAGTAATTAGGTCGCTAAACTGCTGCGTGATCGCGATCGATTCCTTTAAAAGATCGATTGCGAGCAACACAGACAGATCGTGAGTAGCTGTTGAATACTGTGTGGCTCTAAGTCCATCCGGAGAGTTTTTTGCAGTATAGCAACGGCTAAGTGTCAATATAAGCGTGCGTAATTGTACAGTAATTTGTAAACTTGGTAGTAATAAACTACGCCAGTTTTTTATAAAAGAATCTTATTCATCACCAAGTCCTTTATTTTCCCGATCTCAACAAATTTTGGTGGCAGCGGTGGGATAGTAAACCAACTACCGAGGCGGGATCTTAACAGTATTTAGTACGAAAAAGATTTCGGTTGGATTGTGGAGGAAACGACAAGGACGTTGAGACCGCAGGCCATCCAGGTCGAAGCCCCAAAAAGTAAAGATGTTTCCAAACGGACCATAGGTACTGGAGAGGGGGAACAAAAGCAGTTGGTGCCGAGAAGACTCTTCAGAGCAACATCCGGGGACCAGCCCGAGAAAAGGAAACAAGAAAGGAGGAACAGGAGATCAAAGTCCGTAACGTAAGACACTGATGAGAATAGAAAAGCAAGAGAAAGAAAAAGTTTAATTTTTTGTTTTAAAGAAAAAGACCAAGACGACAGGTGGCAGTATTAGACTAAGTATTATTATTATTATTATTATTATTATTATTATTATTATTATTATTATTATTATTGTTGTTGTTGTTGTTGTGTAAACTTGTGAAAAGTGTGGCCACTCCGATGTCGATCTTGAAAGGCAGGAATCAAGAGAAACCCAAGTTTTGTTTTGTTTTATGGGCATCTCCTACGGGAGGAGTTCATCTAATGATATTTAAGTGTAAAACAAACTTTTGGGACAAAAGTGAAATGTTTTGGAAATTAAGTCAGGGTACTTGAAAACCGCACCTGCAACAAAAAAAGTGGTTAGTGTAAAGAATTCAAAATTTTACTTACCTTAAGTCCAGGTCCCAAAAGGTTGTAAAGTTTGTCTCAACGTGTACTGGCGCCGTAAAACGGGGGTAGGCAGCATCTGGAATGGTTCTCGTTTGAAAAAGAAAAGTATGTTAGATCACACCAAGGTTAGGTATAAAGACAGTTACGTTGGTAGTAGGAAGTTAGGGCACGATAAGGTCAAATTTCGAAATTTAGGAAGAGTCACAAAAAGTTAATTGTTGGCAAAACTTGGCAGGTAAAGAGAGCTTCAGTAGAAAAGGGGAGTTACAAAATTTCAGCAAAAATTGCGAACATTGGTCAAAATTTTAATTGTTCAAAATAATGCTTGTATGTAATGGTCTTTGGGTAAAAAAGCGCCACACCAAGTTTGGCCCACAATTGGGATGCTAGCTACTTACCTCGGGTTGTCAGGCTAGACCCTAACCCTGGGGTGAAGGTATAATTGTCAGCAAAACTGCGTCGGTGTGCAGGTCTGTAAAGGGTTCAATAGAAACATTATTTATTATTTTTTACTACATAGTTATACAACAAGTAAACGCTTCTTTAAAGTTAATAAACACTTTGCCATACATTAAGCGTAACAATTAATGTAGCATAACAAGTAATTTCGTAACTTTAAACTGTATGTGTGTGTATTGTTATGTGTATTATTATGTATTATATGAGTGCCGACTATAGTCGACGTTAAGAGTAAAAGGGTTAATATTAAATACTCGTTTTACTTAAATACATTATTTAAAGTAAATCAATATTTTTTCAAAGAATTCTAGCATTAATTAAATACAATTAAATAATTCTATATTCTCAAGTATGACATCGACAAGTATCATCGGCGTTATGTTAAATACACAATGTAAACATGGATCGGTTAAATTGTATACTTCGTGCATTTTGTGTGTATACATATGTATATATATGTATAAACATAATAGATTATATGCGACAAATCGTCTTTAATTCAGATAAAAAAAAAAAAAGAAAAATATCAAACTGGTTCCTATCGAAGACAACGTAGAAGCGATCATTGTTACGTCTACTATTTGTTAATCACGTATTGAAAAAATGGAAAATAACAAGGGAAAAAAATTAATATATATTTCTTATACAAGTTTAGTATCGAAAAACAGAGTACATAATGATCGTTGCTGCGTGTCATAAAATGAGACTGCATTTTGTAAAATAACGCATTTTTTTTTTTTTATTGCCAACATTTGTTTTTAAGAACAAAAGCGATGCAGTAAGATGCGTATCAATAATTTATTAATTAAAAAGTGTGTTCAACTAGTCAAGAGATTTAAGACTGTTTATCTGAATAT